GAGTTTCAGTGGGTGTGTTCTGCTCTCTAAGACTCTGATTTATGTGTTTTTCTACATCCTGCACTGTGTTTAACCTTTAAAACCTTTTATAGATTGAACTCCATTTTATGGAGAGTTTAAAAAGATACATCTACAGTCACATTTGAGTAATCTGTCAACCTATTTATTCTGTATGCTAACGAGTATCCAAATTCAAGTAACTGTTTTTTGTGAACTTTTATATTATCAGTGTTGTTTCCTGCTCATTTGCACATCACTATGTTAGGCTGTATTTAAGAAGAGTAAGGTTACAATCAAGAAGCAAGAAACTTTTATATCCTTCAGCTTCTACTGTAACCATCTTTGCTCAAAGAAGGGGTATTATGCATTTAGTTCAGACTCTGTATTTTCTTTCTAAAACCTCTCTAATAGATTTACATGATTTTTAGATTTTAAAAAAGCCTCAAATTTCTCTAAGTGGTGTATAAAAAAAATCAATATTTCAGCCTCCGTCTGAAACGCTTCATTTTGGCGACTGTCTCATGAAGTTTCTTTTGACTGGCCGCCTCGCTGGAGCTCTAAATCTAAATTTTAGAAACACTTTTGTTTTCTTCCAGGTGCATGATGTACCAGGATTTTTTGCAGGACGCCTTAACTCAGTGATTTTTCACCCCTTAAATTATCTATTCTCAAATCACAAAGACAGAGGGCATGACCAACCCTCACTGCCTTATGGTAAGTTTAATACTAAAACCTGAACTGGTGTTTACACAGTTTGAGGAAAAGTTAAATCAGAGGCGCGTTGATCGTGAAGATCAGGGTCTGACTCTACCATCAGTAATATGACTGTTTCAAATAACCGTTTAACTGACAGCCTAATCTGACACTAATGTTTCTTGCATTACTTTTCTGTCACTCTTGTTGTCTGTGTTTTCAGTTGTGAGATTTGATTTATCTAAAGTCTGATTCAACACAAAAACATTCTTTTGAAATCTGAATGACTTTGACGACGAATGACAACAGTTTTATTCCTATAATGTGAGGTGTGCTGGAATGTATGTCTTTTATGAACAACCCTAACTTTAACTAACCCTCAAAAACTCTCGTCAGATCTCTCACCTGTAAATGTGACTTTAAAGTAGCCAAACAAGGCAGACTGTGGGGTCTAACCGGTACTTGTCGCTTAGCTTCTTGGTACATCTGTTGCTGTTTCTTTTTCAGCGCCTCCTCTTGTCATTTCAGTGTTGGTTTGTTTTACTAGTAGTTATATTTTTAGCATTTCCAACATCCATCAAAGTTTATTCTTCATGTTTCCCAACATTGCCATGGCTGCTGTTGTTTGTTGCACTTGCCTCCTGATTGGCTTTTCTTTCCTCCCACATAACAACGGACAAAGGGCCTGTTCAGTAAATCCCGGGTTCCCCCCAAATATTTATTAATTTACGATTTCGATTTGGAGTGAATCTGATCATCTTCTACGCATATCAGAGCGATGAAAACAATAACACTTAACACACCTCATACCACAAGACAATCTTGAGAACTATCAAACTATAATTTTGTCAGAAAGGGGATCAGGCCCAAAAATCAACACTATTACCTTATAGCATGGACCCTGCTTTACTGTTGCTTGTCGTCCCTTTTCTTGAAATGTCACTGAAACATTTCTTTCAAGCTGCAGGTCTCTGATCTTTCTCAGAGGTAGTCTAATACTCCCACACTGCTGATGATTTCTTCCACATTTGAACAGGAAAAACAACCCGTTTGTCCTACAAGTGACTTCTCCGCCTGGTCAAAATATAACTTTTCTCTGCTTCTGGAGCTACGTACACGAGCGTACCAGCATTCAGTTGATGCAACACAACATAGAAGTATTCTGACATTAGTGCACGGCTTATATTTGCAAATGGGGAGATAAATTATAGCTTTGGTGCGACTATAGACTAGATACAGCGACGTCATTGTCCTGCCAATACTTCTGTTAGATCACAATCTGTCTAAACTGCTCCTTGAAGACATCTACATAGAAATTCTTCAAGTCATTCAGTGATATATGTGTTTATAAAAACATCACTTCACCTCACATCGCTCTGTTCTTACTTCACCTCTTGCTCCTTCTCTCCCAGGCAGCGGTGGATTAGCAGAGTTCTGCTCCGTTTACCTCCACCTGTCAACGCTGCAAGGCCCTGTGTGTAGCTGCATGAGTGTGTGTGTGTGTGTGTGTGTGGGTGAGTGAGTGTCTTGTGCACTCAGCCATGAGAAGCTAGCACTAAGACCCTGCATCATGAGTTCTGTGTAGGTGACAGCTAAACAGTCCCACCCAGAACACACACATGTATACACACATGCACACACTTTAAGTGACGCTGTTAGACGGTTAAGCCGAGTAAATGCTTCGGGTATCAAGTGCCATTAGCTGCAGTGCACTCAGAATATGAAAACCCTAACGCTGCTTTAAAGTTTGTTTCCACTTTGAGCAGCTGAGAGGAAAAGGTCGAGAGACAGAGAGAAACAAAGGAGAGAGAGAGAGAGGAGAGAGAGAGTTTGTTGTCTTGTTGTGTGGTCCCGTGTGACTGTGAGGGAGCTGCACCTCCACGGCTCACTGCCATCCACCCTCCTCCCTGAGCCTGCTCCAGCCTGTTAGCAGGAAGTGTCCTCCCAGCTGACACACACACACACACATACACACACACAAACACACACATTAGACCACAAAAGGCAATTTCAAACAAACGTCAAAGTTAAAGATGTTTTGATGTGTCTGAATTCCTTATTCCAAGACGGTGGGGATGAGTAATTCTTGAAATGTGACTGCGGGAGTTTCAGCAGGTGGTGCTCTTTTGTCTGTTTAGCAGAAGCAGCCTCACACTGTCAGCTCATACTAATAAAATCTGAGTGTGACAGATGTCAAACAGAGAAAACGGGCTCTGGAAATGTCATTTATTTAGTAGTAAACCAACCTCTAGAGTCAATCTGTGGAGAAATCTGAGACAAGATGACAGTCATACAATCAATATTTTGTGTAATAAATGCCTTTTTAAATGTAGCTACAAATTGAGATTTCAAGAGATGTTGTTCTATAATCTCCTCCTATTGAGCACACCGTCTTTTTCAGGTAGGGAGATATTTTTTAATTTGACTTTGTTAGGAAAGTTTAGATCTGGTATCATCACTTCAAGCATGTTTGCCATATAGAAAAAAAGATACTGAAATTAAAGTGATGCTGTAAGATTTTCAAAAAGTTGTTATTCTTTCCACAAATTTTAACCTGCATGATGATACGTGTGAATTTCAACATTAACCAAACATTTTCCACAAACAAGCAGAAACATTTAGAAGCTGATCCTGTTTTAGTTATAAAATACCAACCTGCTTTGGTTGCTTTGTTTAGCTTTGGTAGGTCACATGGAGACATCAAAAGCATACAAGTCTATGACCTCTAGCAGCTGTATTAAAAATACCTGCAGAGCTTTCAGTGATGAAATTACAGAAAGTCAAAACAGCATTCAAAATAAAAAAAACTGGGGATCTGAAACCTGTTACACTAATGTGGGTTGCATTTCAGAAAGCTTAGCTCTGTTGCAGAAAAAACGGATGTATATTAGCATCTCTATCCACCTCATCACATAATGTATGTGGATCGCTCTGTCAGGATGAAAGTGCACAGCGAAGCTCTGTGCAACAGAGTGTGGAGATGCAAACTGCACAGATCAGGAGAGTTTACACAGACTTCACACTGGAAATAAAATGTAGCAGCGCTGACGTCAGCACAGGGGGCCATTTTGACAGACAAAACAATACTAAGCGCATTGGAATGAATGAAATTAGGATGACGTTAGGTTTTAAAAACCAACTACTTATTAGCTGATTACACAGTAATGGAGAACGGAATGGAGAGCGAAAAAACTTGGACTCAACATGCCATACAGGGACAAGCTGAACAATGAAGAAAGAGAGTGTTACTTTAGCAAAATTGCAGACATTGCTGGACTCGACCCATATGAACACACCGTATGGTCAGAAGATGATTTAGAGATGCTACCACCATTTAACTGAGTGCATTTGATGCAATACCTCAGTACATAATTTGTTCAGTGGTGTGAGCGATGGTTTTGTTGTTGACACTGTGCATCTGCAGTTTTTGTACCCACCCAGATGTGAGAAAAACGTGGGCCAAGAGAGACTTTTCATTATGGAAGGAATTAAATGTATAACAGCTTATTCCTTCGGAGGTACTGCATCAAACGTCCTCGGTTAAGTGGTGGTAGCATCTCAAAATCATCTTCTGACCATACAGTGTGTTCATATCAGTCGAGTCCAGCAATGTCCTCAATTTTGCTTGAGTAACGCTCTCTTTCTTCATTGTTCAGCTTGTCCCTGTACGGTATGTTGAGCCCTCTGTGCTGAAGTTGGCACTGCACCACGACTCATGTGGGAATAATCTAGAGAATAAAATAAACAACTGGCCTTCGCTTTCCACAAGACAGTTAGTGGATGGTTTTGCACTTGAAAAACACAGTTTTCTTAGTAAATAAGACCTCGAGACAGTGCAGATAGGGCCACAGACATGTTGTTCTTGGTGGTACAAGTTGCTACCATCCATCTTAAGAGGTTTTTCTCCTATGTGTGGAGTTCTTGTTGAATGCAGCAGGAACACTGAGTGATGGCATTGTTCATGTAGAGCGCAGGCTCTCTCCTGACTACCCTTAGTTATTTGCCTCACTGGTCTGTATCATGTTTGTACGATTTTATTTGTATTGCCAGATGTGTGTTGCAGAGATACCAACCTTTAAACTGTCACAGTTATGTAAGACACCTTCTTCTTTATGCTCCAACCAGACACCCTCCCGAACTAAATCAAATGGAGTAACTCGAGTAACTCAAACATACAGAGTACAGGTAATGTGAGGAGAAGACAAGCTCCAGAAAATATCAGGGATTAAATATCCTGAAATTTTCCTCATGCAGCTTTAATATAAAGTAGCCTGTATGCGCTCTTGTCCCTGTACGAGCAGTTTGTACATCTGTAAAAAAAAATACTTGTCTGACAGCGCTAAATACAGGCTGTACACACTGTAGCCGCCGGGTCATCTGAGTTTGGAGTTTGTTTTACTGTCGCTTTTCCCCCATGAATTCGCTGCTGTGTGGTCTGTCTAAGTACCTGAATAAGAGAGACACAGGGAGAAGAGACGGAAAGAGAGAGAGAGGGAGAGAGAGAGGTAATTAGAATCCAGTGATTAATGTTCTAATGAGTTTATTCTCTGAGGGGATTAACATGAAGGCTAATAGCTGCTGTGCTAAAAACATCCCAAAAAACCCAAAACACAGGAGACAAAAACACTGGCGCAGGATTTACTGGTCCAAGAGAAGACGTATATTAGTTTGTTGTTGTTTTTTAGAGTTTATTATGTTCGTTTTTCATCAGCTGTGCAACCTTGGAACAACCTTTTCTAAACCACAGGAGTTTATCTTCAGCGAAGTCGCAGCTTTAACGCGTGATTACTTTTTTCACAAATGAGAAACAACTAACTTTTAGTTTATCAACGGCACTGATTTTTCTGACTCAATAAACGGTATTGCTGCTGATTTTTCTTTACCGGAGAATTGTGGTAGAGTTCGATGAGGAAAAAGGAAGCTCGTTCAGAGACTGAGGTTGAGGTGAGCTGATGTGAAGGCCAGAGAAGGGGAGAGTATATGTTTCTATACTCAATTTTCAACTGACAGATATCACCATGAAACTTTCGAGTTTATAACTTACATTAAGAAAAAATATTTGAAATTTTTATTATTTTTTTCTGTACTAATTCATTACAAATAGTCTGAAACATGCTACTAAAGAGCTCCTGGACAGTGATTTTAACCCTAACCCCAATACTCCAATGTTACCCCAACGTAACCCTTACACTTAAAATTTTTCCTAATTTTTTTTTTTGTTCCTTGACAGTGATTTTAATCTTAACCCCCTAACCCTAACCGCGATTTTAACCCTAACCCCAATACTCCAATGTTACTCCAACGTAACCCTTACACTTAAAAATGGACATTTTTCCTAATTTTTTTTGTACCAATTGACTCCAAATGATCTGAAACGTGCTCCTAAAAAGGTCCTTGACAGTGATTTTAATCCTTACCCCCTAACACTAACCCCGAAACTCTGACCCTAACCCCAATACCACAACCTTAACCCCAACAGAATTTTTTTTTTGACATTTTTTTTTGTTTGTAGCAATTGACTCTAAATGGTCTGAAACATGCTCCTTAAAAGGTCCTGGACAGTGATTTCAACCCTAACCCCATAACCCCATAACTCTAACCGTGACACCATAACCCTAACACTAACCCCTAACCCCAATACCCCAATGTTACCCCAACTAAACCCTTCACTCTCAAACATTTTTGACATTCTTCCTAATTTTTTTGTACCAATTCACTCCAAATGGTCTTAAACATGCTCCTAAAAAGGTCCTGGACAGTGATTTTAACCCTAACCCAAAAACCCTAACCCTAACCCTAATGCAATATCTACTTAGCCTGTTCTGTTAAATCAATCAAACCTTTTTTTATACCACTACTACTATTTAGTTGTATACTACCCTTGCAGCCAATTGGTTTTCCAAGCGATATGGAGAGTGACATTTGGGTTGGCTTAGCCCTTTTCTGAAGAAAAAGGAGAGATTAAGACAATCTGCAGCAAACCACCTTCCCTACGCCAAGGTGCTTAGAGACCCACGGAGCAAAGAGGATTGTGGGAGACAGAGGGGGTTTCTGGGATAGCGCCACAGAGATCTTAGAGGGCATTAACAGAAACGTACTCTACCTGAGATAGATGGAGAGGAGACCACACCAGCAGCACCAGACCCCTTTGTTGACTGGCTTATACATAGCTGTCCTGACTCTCTCTCTCTCTCTCTCTCTCTCTCTCTCTCACACACACACATATAAATGCAAAAATCTCTAAATGATTATGCTTAGATTCAACATTTTTAATAAACCTTTACATGCTTTTTCAAACACTAGACTAACAAAGACGCCAGACTGTAACAAGATGTCTGGATTCCAAATTCACTCTTGCACTTGTATGGGGTCTGTGTCAACTGTTTGGGTTTTATTTAGATACCATTTGATAAAAAGAAAACTAAACACTTGTTTAGCATATTTAAAGTGGAACATTTTCGAAGTGAAACCAAATCTTCTCCGCATTTTATTTCTGAAAATATCGGCAACAATCGTCAAGTTTTGGCCGATTACCAATTACTCTCAAACAAGCTAAAATTGGCCGATTTAATCAGCTCGCTGATATATTGGTCGGACCCTACTGTTAAGTCAAGCTACGATCATTTTTCAATCAGGTGATTTCCCTGGAATACCGTCCTTGTCCCAGTTTACATGCACTGGGCAAAAAAATAAAAAAAGTATGGACAGAAGCGCGTCCGCCTCTGCTAAGATCGGTGGCGACATGCCTCATTTCAGCTTATTAATGTTATATTGTCTTCTTGTTTACCTATTACGTATCAAAACAATCGACCAAATGTGTTAACACGATGTACAAGAAATGATGGGGATACTGTCACTTGTGTGATTGGAAAGTTTTGTTCACTACGCAGCTTCCTAACTGACATTTTGTTGGGCTGCCTCTTTTTATCACATCAGTTTTTGATCATTTATTGACCTATAGAGCAATCACTCGCCAACATATACACATACTTAATGCCTTTAGCAGCTTTCTTGAAATTATATTTTTCACTTGAACTGACCTCATATAATGTTAATAACAGCAGACTTGCAGAAGTGAACATTTTCAGTTAAATTCAACAACCGGCGGTCTATATCCACAGTCTTGTATTTTTCATTGCATGCAGAAAATATCACATTACATCCTGACACTGTGTAATCACGTTGGATTTACTCAAAAACCGGATGCAAATGCTTGACTCAGGACTTTGGTTTAGATGATTTTTTGCTGCATGTTGGTATTTTTTAGCTCCTCAAAGTTGTCGAGTTGAGTGCAGCCTGAATCTAATCTGGGTTCTGCTGGCTTGTACCTTTGCCTGAGACATTGAGGAATTAAAGGGGAGATTAAGGTGTGTGTGGTAATCTGTGAGGATGTGTTGATTTGTAAGGTGCCAACGGGGATAAGCTTGACTTTCTGTGTGCGTGTGTGTGTGTGTGTGTGCATGAAAGATATAAATAAGCAAGAGTTTTACTTCGGGAAGTCATCTTTATATTCCCGGGTGATACTCCTACATAAATTAAACACACTCAAACTGTTACAGTACACACACACACACACACACACACACACACACACACACACACACACACACACACACACACACACACACACACGTGCATGCATATTGAAGCACACACAGATGCTCGGTAGCACGCTGCCATTCACTCACACTGTGATCTGTGGCGTCCGTTAAGATTGGTTGTCACTCTCTTTGTTAAAGGGTGATTTATGTCTTAGTTGTAACGTCCAGTTGCCCCGTGCGTGTGCTAATGTGTGTGTAGCCTGAGGGTAAAGTTGTGCGACAGCTGCAGGAGGCCTCAAACCATCCATCCTGCCTGCTTTATGTCCCGTACCTCCTCTCTCATCCTCCCGGTCCAGCATGTTAGAGAGATGGAGGCCTCTGAAATCTGCAGCTGTTTTACAACCACTTTCATCGCTAAAATTGGTCACCATCTCAGCTTTTGTCTAGCGTGAGTCTTTGGGAGAAAATGCCGATCAGTTTTCAACTCCAAACATTTTCCTTTAGTTCTGCAGAATAACAGGTCGTGACATTTGAGTCATTACTTGCAGCTGAAAGACTTTTCTCTTTTTCAACTATTTCAATTGGCCGTTTAGAAAGTGGTATCAAGGTTTTATCAAGTACCTGGAAAGCACTTATCTGGAAAGCAACATTTCATTCATGTAATATCTCGAATTCTTACCTTAGTTAAATAATTTTGACCAGACTCTTCGCACAATGCAAAGCTGCTGTGCTGCCCCTGATGATCTATTAAGATAAGGAGAGAGCGACACTCACAGATTAAAGTGATCGTGTAGAGGAATGTTCTTTACACCAAGTCAGGAAGCTAAAAACTCTTCTTTTGGCCAGTAATGTGATAATTTCTGCATATATAACTCGATTTTCTTGGACTTAAAATAAAAGTGCAGTGATGACAGAGGCGTCCCAAACTGAGCATTAACTGTGCTTTTGTGGACGGACATTCAATTCAGGTCTCTGGGCTATTAAAGCCAATAGATGGGTTTCCGTGCTGCGTCATGCGTGCGCAGCTAGAGGGCAGAGAGCAGGACATTTCTTATGTGTTTAGAAGCGGAGTCAACGGAGAAAGAAAATGACAAGGAGCTGTTGTGCTGTAAACGAATCGGCAAAACAAACAATCGGCAAACATTACGACCCTGCTCCTGATATTAGAAACAAATGAAACAACATCACAACCTGGTAAAGTGAGTGAAATTCATGGACATTTCAGCAAGTGTTTATCTGATTTTGATGCAATGAAAGACAAAGTGATTTTTCATTCATTGGCATCTTCATTGATATCAGTTTACTCTGAAGCAGGCTATTGCCCCCTGGTTGTGCGCGCATCTAGTATTGTTTGTACACAAGAAACCCGTCTATGGCACAAAAACAGGAACCCACGTTACCTGGTGTTTTTAACCCAATGGTGCAAATACTGTAAGTGACCAAATTGACCCTGCACCTCTGAGCCTGTTATAAAGGACTGTACTGTATTCAAAACAGATAAGATAGTGGAAAATAACACAGATTTTGAATGTCAGTCCTGTCCCATCACCCTGATAAAAACTAAACCCGGGTTTGTCAGAGTTTTAGTCTTTGATTATGTATTTTGAGCCAATCGGCATCTCCTGCACAAACGTTTTTGTGACTATGGTTTTTATCAAAAAAACGACTGGTTGGAGATTTTGAAGGTTTGAACTGGAATCAATCAATCAATCAATCTTTATTTATAAAGTGCCATTTCACAAGAAATGGTGTCCCAAGACACTTGACAAAAAAAAAGACCATACTGGGATGAAATTGAGCCCCATCTTGTAAGATCAGACCCACTCCTACCCCATCTTCCACTTACACTTTGCAGCATTAGAAAGTTACAGTGGAGAGGAAAAACTCCCTTTAACAGGCAGAAACCTTGAGCAGGACCAGACTCATGTAAAACAGTCATCTGCTGCGGCTGCATTGGGTTTGGAGAGGGGATAGAAAGAGATCCAGAAAGAGAGAGATGGACAGAGGTGAGACTGATGCAGGTAGTTGAAGCAGCTGGGAAGCAGGAAGGTCCAGGGCAAAATGTCTGCAGCAGTGATCCAGAGAAACCTGTGACATGATGGAGAACAAGTCTAAATTCTCTTGATTTTAAAATCTCTTTTAAATTTAATGGTAGGCTAGTGTAGAGAAGCTAACACAGGGTAGATGTGTTCTACTCTCCCAGTTCTGGTCACCATTTTGGCCCAGCTGTACAGTCTCTAAAGGCTTGTTACGGCAGCCTGATCAAAGGGAATTACAGTCACCCAACCCAGAGGGGACATAAGCATGGACCAGTTTTTCTGCGTGGTTCTGGGACAAGATCGGATTTTTGTTTTATTGTGCAGGTGAAAAAAGGCAATTCTGGAGATTCGTTGGATTGCCGAGTTAAAGGATTTATAAAATCAAAGCACAGAAGAAGAAAAACCACAACCTCTGATGTTTACTGAGAACAAAGTTTAAGTCTGCTTTACTCCTAGAGCTTCTAGAGCTGACTAAGAACCATAACTACATTCCAATGAAGACCTCTCCTCGTTCAAAGTACATTATTATTCAATTTTCAAAGTAATGAGCTGATTTAATAACTAGGCCTGTTAGTATTTAACAGTAACAACGAATCATGACACTAAAAGTTTTAATCCCCAAAAAGTTCTCAAACAACTACACCAAAGAGACTCAATTATATATTTGCAAAAAGTACCAAATAAGAGATCTTTGTGACAGCGCAAAGTTATTTAAATGTAACATGTCGCTCAAATGCAGCACATCAGGACAAAAATATGCACATACTTTAATTTCACAATATGAAGGCCTCTCAGACTTTTATTTCTTATGAATATGACCAACACTTACAGTATTCAACCAGGCACAGCAGTGCTGCAGTCAGACAGCCATTATGAAGACTGACATAAGACTTTAAAGTCACCAGATGTTGCTGTGTTGGCTCGGTTTGAAGTTTTAAACCCATTACTACCACATTATGGTGTTTTAACTGTTACGTTTTTGTCCCTTATTAACTTTATTAAGATGGACTGTGTCGATAGAATAGCTTTGAAGGTGTTTGCATAATAATTATTAACCCGCTGGCTTCCCTTTAAAGCCTTTTAAGCCTTTGCTTGATGTTATATCCACATATTCACTCTTATATGACTGTAACAGGTGGGCACAAAAGGGGGTCCTGACAGAGAGAGAGAGAGAGAGAGAGAGAGAGAGTGAGTATGATGGATTGATAGCGGGCACGGCTGATGCCAACCTCTCTGTGACAAGGAGAGGCAGCTGAAACAGACGGTACCCTCCCCTTCGTGTGTGTGTGTGTGTGTGTGTGTGTGTGTGTGTGTGTTTGTGTGTTGCCATGCTGTTTTGGCAGGGGTGGCACAACCATCTGCCTGGTCGAGGTGCTTGTGTGTGTGTGTGTATGCATGTGTGTTTGTGTGTCTGCGGGAAGACAAGCTGAGATAAACGGGTGATTGAGTGTTTTGGGCTGCCTGGTGTAAGTGAATGGACTACTGGCACTGGCAGCTTTACACACAAACACACACACACACACATGCACGGACACATACACACACACGATCAGCTGTATGCATGAGACATTAGTTTATAGTTTACCTGTTTGGAGATGTAGTGCTGAGCAACATGTTTGTTTACAAGTGTCTGCAAACGTGAGTGTGTGGTGTTTTTCTTTATACTGTACATGTTTATTTTCCACTTTAGTTTAACAGTTTAATAAAATATCTGTGTGTGTGTGTGTGTGTGTGTGTGTGTGTGTGTGTGTGTGTGTGTGTGTGTGTGTCATACACTCTCCAACTCTGTGTCATTAAGGCTGTGTGTGGTGAATAAATATCCCTTCAATGGAGGAGTCAAAGCTACCGTAACATCTGTTGTTTCTACACTAAATCTGTGTCCCAACAGAAGGAGTAGTCTGGAGGCTGTATATTTGAGTGTGTGTGTGTTCGTGTGTGTGTGTGTTTACATGTGTGTGTGAGTCCGTATGCATGTGCCTGCATCCAGAGTTGCTTTTGTTCAATTTGTTGAAATGAAAACGTGCAGAGGTAGTTTATACAAACTCAAATGATTTCCCCAGCAGCAGCAGACCTTGACACTGATCGTCCTCATCAGTCTGGTTAAAGTCTGTTTTTCTTTTTTCTTTTTTTTTGTTCGAGGACATTTAATTTAAGCTGAAAAAGAAATGAACCAGACCTCCATGCCAAGGTTTCAGCTCAGGAAAAAAAAGAAAAATCTGATTTGAAATAAAAAAAAAAACTTTCCGGCATCCAAAATAAAAAAAAAGAATAAAAGTATCTGTATAAGTCTGGGTATGTTTTTCTTTTACACATACAGAGTGTTTGACTGAAACGAGCCCCACTGCTCCCCTATAATACCATCAACTGTGTCACTTCATAGTGAAATCACGACTGAGAGCTGCAGTATTACCTAAAAACTTACTGGTTTATAGAAGATGAAATTTTCATACAACTGGAGCTCATCATTTGTCCTGATTGTCTTGTATTTTGTGTTTGTGTGAAATAGTGTTTAATTTTGAATAATGACTGTGAATGCAAAGACTGCAGTGAACAGAAGTTTTGATGTTTGAGTTTCTCTCTCTCTCTCTCAGAGCAACAGTATCTGCTGTAATCACACATGTCTGTCTGCAGCCTATTCACTATCTGGTTAACTGAGACCGACCGTGCCCACTGTGTGTGTGTGTGTGTGTGTGTGTTTGTGTGTGTGGGTGGGTGGGTGTGTGGTAAGTCTTTTTTACCGTTTTCTTTCTTTCCCTCTGTCTTTGTTTTTACTCTGTTCTTAAACCTGTTTTTTTTTTTTCCTTTTTTCTATTAAGATCATTTTTGTGTGTTTTTCGCTCATAAGTGATCGGAGTGGACGATGACATGAACGCTATTCTCTTAGGACAAGGAAATGAGAGTGTGAATGACTTTTTTAAGGTCTGATCGGGTGTCTATTGTTTTTATTTCAGCAATGGTTCAGATATGGAAAAAGCATGACTGGATTGCTATATTGATGTGGGATTTCTCACTGTGGATTTAAGTTTTTGTGTTAAAAAGTATTATTTCAGGTTCTGAGTTATTGAGTTGGAGGATGTTTTGAGCCATTCATCAGCTAACATCATTTAGACAGTTTTGGACAGCAGCAAGTCTTCTAGGGTCCTCATGTCTGAGAGGGAGGTATATCTGTGTGTCATTTGCATAGCGATGAAAAGTGACTGTGGGGCTGAATTATTCGGCCAAGAGGCAGCTTATAAATAGTGAATTAAATCAGAACCTAAAACTGAACCATGTGGTACACCACAGGTAATGTTGGAGGAGGATTTAGAGCAGCATGACACATTTTGCACTCGTGGATTCACCTGTCTCCCTCGTAAACCCTCTGTCTTGTCAAAATACAAGGCCATCCAAATTTCCCTAATTTTAAATAGATCAGATTTTAATAACCCAAGCATATAAATGTTCTTCCAAAATTGCATCTATGCACACCTGCTGTACTGATCCACTGGTCCAGTGCCTGTGGTAATCATATGCATTAACACAGACTGGTTTATCGTTCCTATATAGTGAAAGCACAAAGGCATGATAACCAATCACTGCCAATTTAAAGACTACACAGGTTAGATAGGTGTTTATTTGACAAATTTGAGCCTCTTCATGATACAGCTTAAATAACTGAATGTACTGTTAGTCATTTAATGAGACTAGTCAATGATTTGAAACAAC